AATGCTTATTGTAAGTTTAATGAGGTGCATTGATAATGACGTGTGCGGACAAATCCCCCTACACGCTGTGTCTTTCAGTTGCAACTAATCGATTTACCAACTCGGAACACTAGTGCCGAGTTCCGGAAAAGTCATCAAATTTACATCGCACCTGGCACGAGTCATCATTTGAATAACTTTACAAAGCAATACTTGTCTATCCATTTTTATCCTATCGATGTTGAGAATTCGAATCTTTACAAGGTTACCTGGTTTTAAATTTAATATACAGAAGCTTTTTTAGCTTTATATTGACAAATAACGGTATAAAAATCCTTCATTAGAACAAACTTGAGTTTCATGATTATGTTTATCCCGGATTAAACATTCAATTCTTCGCTAACTCCAACTTTAAGTATTAAAAACCTAATATTTAAAGTTTGGTTTTCATGTTTACTTAATGGGTTTATAAAACGGCTAGGCAATGATTGTATTTTGAACAATCCATTATGCTGTATATCTTTTGTTAAAAAGGGTTATAAGTTATATTTTAAATGTCAGACGTTGCTTTCAAATGACGTCGATTTTAATGCAGTATTTTAAAACAGTGATGCAGTAGAATCATTCGAGCACATTTTGGAATTGGGCAAAAATCAAAAACCCCAAATTATTATTATTATTACATACGTAGTAATACGTCAACCATATGACGAATTTAGTAAACTGAACACCAAAAACAATAAAACTAATATAATTATCACATCTCCTCACCTTAAAACTCATCTCTTTTTACTGTTAAAATTCATCTCTTGGACGTTAAAATTTCGAATGATTGCTTTAATATAGTAAGTTACGGTTATAATGCCATAACTTACTATATTACAAGTTACGACAATCATTGGGACGATTCTACTGCATCACTATTTATATATGTTCGACGTCACTTTTTCAAATGACCGCGTCGATTAAAATTGACTGTATTGTATGTCAAATTTTAATGTAGTATTTTATGTTATGGAATATTATATTCATAACACCTGTGTTATATAACACCCTATATGTCTTACTTAGGCGGTTTTAAGATAAATAGAGATTTTTTATTATACAATATATATTAGACATAAGGTCATAATAGGTCCCGATTTCAGTTCCCATGAGGTTTTCAGGGGCGCTGATCATTTTTACTTAGAGTAACCTACACCCATTTACTTAGAACGTTTTTGAGGTATTGTAAATTTTAAACTCAGGTATGTCAATTTTTAATCGACACTAATTTTTATTTGATGATATGTAGATTACTACGTATACTTATTCTACTATATATTTCTTATTAAACTTTATAATCGGTATAAATTTTAAACTCAGGTACAATTGTTAATCGACAGTTAATTTTTTATTTTAACTTATTTTGATGATAATACGTATGTAGATTACTACTATTTTAGAACTAATGCACAAATACATAAGGCTCCAGCCCTATAAAATGCCGCCATTTTATTACTATATAGTTCTTTATTTTGATTTTTTTTAAATAGATTTAGACTACACAAGTGTAATTGACTAATAAAATTGATACTTGTGCAATATGAATCTTAAGTTTTCTCGATGACTACCTAATTAAAGTCGATATTTTTTTTACTTTAATTCTATAAACTTAAAGGATTAAAATAAAATAAAAATAAATAAAATAATTATTGAATTTATTCAAATATTCGTCAAGAAATATTTAAATATTAATATCAATAATCATAGGTTTACAGTAATATTGCATCGAAGCTGTTATTGAATGATTTTAATTATCATGACTTATCTGTATGTAGAATTGGTTCTTTATTTAACTAATTGAAATTAGGTTCAATATTTATAAAATTAAACCTAATTGTAAAGGGTTCTGATTTTAAACATCTCTGTATTAAGAAAATCCGGAGTTTTTTAAATAATAATATATATGTCGTGTTTGCATTGTAACAAGTGCATCTTCAGGTAAGGGATAATTTCAGACACAATTACAATGTTCTAAACGATTAAGCTTAAGGGTAGGGTGAACGTAGATCATTTTTAATAGTAATCACATTGCAAATCATATGATATCATATGATTTACATTGATTTGACCAATCAGAATTGTAAACAATAGAAATCCGACCAATAAGAATTAGTAATTTTTGTGTTACCTAGGCAAATTTCAATCAACCTAGGAGAATTTAACGATATATAGAGGTAGGTTTTTTTTAAATGATATAAGGACCAAAACTTTTATCATAAAGAAAAGGGTTTAATTTATATATTATGAAGTTTTGGTAAAGTTTAGTTGAGGCCTTAAAAACTTTTACTAATAGCATATGCTCAATTTTTGTATAAAAAATTTTTAGCACGTGAGATCATATGACAAATGATCTACGTTCACCCTACCCTTAATTTACTCAAAATTAGTTTGTACGTATGTACTAAATAATTTTTTATATTTAGTAATTATATATATATATATTTAGTGTTGCAAACTGTAGTACGTACATAAGTTGTACTGTCCTAACGCCATAAGTAACTCATTGGTTCTAAGTGTTTTTCCTTGATGATCACTAATGCAAGGAAAGAAAAAGGCTACATTTTATCATATGGGCTTGGTGCTACAGAAAAGGGGAAATTGACAAAAAAAAAGATCTTCGGAAAATCAATTTTTATGTTATAAATTTTATAATAAATTATAAGAAAATACAAATTTCAAAAAGCTATTCTGCAAGATTTTATTAAGACAACTGTTTTTGTGTTTTAAGTGAAAAATAATTCTGATCTTATTCTAAATTGATTTATACAAAAAAATAGGTTTTAAAAAATTTGTTGATTTCCCCCTTTTCTGTAGCACCAAGCCCATATAATCTTTGATGCAATTTATTATTTTGTATCGGACTAAGAAATATTTTAGTACCTTAGGTTTTAAAAATTTAGAAATAATTATTTCACCTTGGGAATCCTTTTCATGAAAAATGATACACAATTTTTTATTGATATACACCGATTATTTATATGGATTATCTAAATCTAGAAAAAAAAAACCCACCCAAAACACTGTTACATAGTGTAATTCTATTCCCAATCATTAGACCGACAATATATATTATACATTTTAAACGCACGCCACAAATAAAAATATGTTTTGTACAAATAATACCCAATCACACCATGAAATATTATGATTAAATGAGACATTTCAAACTTGTTTGTAATAGTTGATAGGCTATAATATGTATCACAAAGAGACTTATACGTAACTAAGTAGTTTTCACCACTACTTCCTAATAGAAAAAGAACTAATGAAATTTGTACGCATATGAAGAAATGGTGAATATGTGTGTGTTATGATAATGAATAATTAGTTAATAGGAAAGTACCACCAATACTATATATATATATATATATATGGTATAAAATTTATAGATATACCACTATGCATCTTATCACATGATTTTGACAGATAATCAAGACTTATACCACAAAGTGACAAGATCCACTTTTTTTTAAGATTAATCACTTTCATAATCTGGGTCAGGATTTAAAACAAATAATCGACCTTTTGGTGCATCATCATCCCCCCTGACATGAATAAGTGTTAAATTTACATGTATATATAAGTAAAATTAATAAAATAAATAAAATAATAAAAGTGCAATCATTCATACATTCTCAAAGTATCTTTGAAAATAATAATTACCTCGTTTCATTACCACTATCTAAACTTTCAGGATTTTCATTTCTAAGTCTGCTAGGTTGTACACCTAAAGGTTGGCTCATCCTAGCTGCACTTCTTAAACTAAGTGGTCTAGAATCAGTTGGTATTGTTGTTGCCATACCCGCTAGCGGTGATAATGATTCAGTTCTAAATAATGGACTTTTAAACCCAAAGCCTTCATTGCTGTCACTTTCTGGTGTCTCTTGTGTTGGTGATGATCTATCATCAGGGCGATATACATATGATAAGTTTTCTTGAGATGATGAGTGCGAAGGTGGTTGATATGATTGTCCTTGTGTATTATAAAATTCATTTCGTGGTGTATACTCTTGTGTTCTACCAGTATTTATTGTTAATGGCGTTTTAGTTGTTGGATAATTTTCTGGTGGATACGTTTGTGCTTGATAACTTTCTGGTGGATACGTTTGTGCTTGATAACTTTCTGGTGGATATGTTTGTGTTTGATAATTTTCTGATGGATATGTTTGATAATTTTCTGGTGCATATGTTTGTATAGATAATGATTGCTGTGAATTATTATCTCCAAATTGAGTCAATAATGGAAGTAGTTTATCTGAAACAATGCCTGAATGAGGCGGATATTCACCAACTTGATATCCAGTATCCAACTGTTCATCGTATAATCGATTATTAGATAAGTTACTATGTGAACTATTAAAAGAGGAACGTTGATCTGCTGAATTAAGAACTCGAGTATCACTGCCAAGACTCCCATCTTTTTGAAAACTTTCCAATGGTGGTATAGCTGGTGGTAAATCATCGTTTACAGGTGCAGGACCCATAATCGGTGGTGCCGCTGCTGGAGTTTTATCATATGGTGTTGATATAAACGTAGAATTTTTTTTTCTTCTAATGAAGCAAACTAATATTATTGCGATTATAACTGCCAATGCTATCGCACCAATTATTCCGCCTATAATGGCAGGAATATTGGTATTAGATTTACTACTAGAATTCGTGTTGGAATTACCCGGGTTTGGTGGAAGATTTTGAGGATTGTACTGAGTTTTCCAAGTATAGTTTGTTACGTCTAAGATGAAGATATTTGTTTGCGGCGTAAGGTCATCCTGACAAATAAAAATATATAAATGAAAATACATTTATTTAATTAAGGATAAAATTACATATGCGCTATATATATATATTTAGGGTGTTGTGGCGAACCACCCCGTAACCCATGGCCCAATACAGACACCACCGAAATTGTACATTGGATTTACATTGGTATATAAAAATAATTTAAGGAATACTTATTAACAATAACGATACAAAACTTTCGTATCGTGATTGTTAATTTGTTAATTACCCCTTAAATTATTTTTATGTACATAGCACGTAATTAAAAATCTTACATTGAACAGAAATCGTATACTTTTTAGTCACTAAAATTTAGGATTCATTTTACAAACTCATGTAAACCCAATTCCGCAAATCCACCGACATGTGGTATGGAAACTATTTTGGATTTGCGAAAGTAACATCGGTATTATTAACTTCATATTAAAGATCAAATGTCGAAATACTTTAGGATGTGTCGCGATAGCTCTACGCCATGCATAACCAGGATAAAAACTTGTCTACACATGATGTTATGCACAATATATCATTCATGTGTACTGTATCGGTATATAATCAACTATATCAATATATTTATATTCTTGCATGATCATGTGTCAAAGCAATTCTTTCAGAAGAATTTAGTGAAGCAATGATCGTTCGATTTGATTACTGAGCAATAAGATATCAAATGTTTGAATGCAACATATGACGTTCAGACGCCAATATCTCGTGACCCAGTAATAAGAGTTCTATTTTGCATCTTTGATACCTTCGATGGATCACTAGTCTCTCCATTGTACTATGGTACATTTATAATAAATGTACCTTGTAATTATCAAAATCGAAGGATTTTCACACTAATTGATTCTTTTCAGTGAAATGAATCGTATATAAGAATTACTTGATTCTGACCGATGGATCGCAAGATATAGTTGATGCTATCAATTCACCACGAATACCCTTTACATTATACATTCAATAAAGTAATAAAATAAAAAAGTAAATGCTTACGGTAATTCCTGGAAAACAGTAATACAAAATGTTCAAAGTCAATAATTTGTGAAATTTAAAACAATTTTTAGACGATAAATATAAACATACCATATGCAACAATAGCATTGTTTCCTACTATAGTAAAAGTATGTGAATAACGAGCTGAGGGTGAATCTCCGTGTGTTGTGGGATTGGTCCAAGATAAATTATCATTAAATGTATCTAATACAGCAATATCCTGATACTTTTGCAAAGTTAAATCTGCACCTCCAAATATTATAATCTTGTTGTTAGATGCTATTTTTTTAAAGTTAATTAGTAATAATAAATCGATTAAAATGATTAAATTAAATAATTAAACTTAAATTTATACATACTTCCAACAGCTCCATGAAGTCTTCGACCTTGAGGTAGGAATGCAGATGTAACTATAACCTACAAATAGATAACACAGTATAATAATAAAATATTCAGTAAAAGGCAATCTGCAAATAGGATAAGAAACCATTATTATATTCTAATTTTAATAAAATACCTTAGACCAACTGTTACTTATGGTATCAAAAATATCAATATCAGACATCGGAACTAAACCTAACTGTCCAATAGTATCATTAAAAGTTAGACCACCAATTATATAAATTTTTCCATTGCTCAGAATTGTAGCCGAATGTTGTGCTCTCCTTTGTGGTGATGTGCTCGACTGACTAGGTATAACTATAAAATTGATGTTGCTGCTCCTTGTATCCAATTTATACAACTCGTTATGAAAACTACCTGTTTGTGATGGTTGACCTAGCAGCTCATCAGATGTACCGTCATATCCACCAAATATATAGACCATAGAATCATTGACACTAGCAACCATTGAATGTCCGATTCTTCCAGAAGGCGGATTCGAAAGATTTTGAGGATTCATTTGTTGATTTTTTGTGTCAAAATATAATAATAAAATGGAACCCGTGGAATTTACTGTTTCACCACCCCATACAACCATCAAATCATTATTAGAACCTCCCGTCGACATACCATGAAAAGAAATATTTTGCGCGTTTATAGGAGTAATAGCATTCAGCGGAGGGTTTGAAGAATTGAATGAATTTGTCATGTCTAACTCTATCAATTCATTAATGTCATCGCTCTGTGTCAGACTTTGTGGTGGTTTTTGGACTGATATTATTCTACCTCCATATACATATAATCTAATTAAAATAATAATTAGAATTAGGGGTAATTAATAATTTTATGCGTAAAGAGTTTTAATTCTTGCTTACTTGTTATTTATCAAAACAGCACCGTGTCCACTAAAGAAAAACACAAAAAAAAAAAGAAAAAAAAGAATGAAAATTAGAAAATAGTTATTTATTAGTGACAATCAATTACAGAAAATCTTTAGAATATCCAATTACAATCTTAAAGATTTGGGGTCACTTTCAACACTCCCAATCCATATGCACTGTATCAATAAATATATCACTATAAAAACTCGATGAAATATTCGCATTTCAAAAGTTATCAAATTCAATCTATATGTAGCTAATGATTATTGTATTATGTACTATCGTAATTACTTTCCGAACTAAGTATCTGGTTAAATCTCGATAACTATCGATTCTTTCTTAAAAAATAATCGTTATTCACGTTAAATAATCGTCCATAACAATTCCGATAAAAAAATTGTTATAATGTGGTAATTGGACACGGATGAAAACCAATTAATAAATAGAGAAAAACCAGGGCACTTAAGTTATAATGGTGCAGGAAATAATGGTCGTATTATATAAAGAGATTTAATAAAAGCGAAATGCACAAATATCTCTTTGTACAATGTGCGGCATGGAAAAAAAGATTGAAACGTGACTAAGGTAAAGAATGAACGATAGGCGTCTATGGAGAAAGGTCAAAATAATTATAGTTAGTGAATTATGAGTGCAAATGAAATGAGAAAAAAAAAAAAAAGAAATAGGTTATAATTATTTAAGTGTCGATCGTGAAACATTTTGTAGGTTCTACTTGAATGTGAATTCCCTTATGTGTGGTAGTTACACGAACATAAGTACAGCCCCAAAATGGCCGAAGACTTGGCATAAATAATATATTTTAATATTAATTGTTTTTATTACGTCGTCGCATTGTGGTATCATGTGTAGTTATCTCTCTTTTTTAAATATGCGCGCGTGAGCCCATTATAAATTCAAATTTATATTTGCGTTACGTACCCACGTACATTAGGTGAATTTTTAGTCATAGGTAAATTTTGAATATACCTAGTTACTCAGTAATGTTAAAAACTTATCGTAATGGTATAGTCTAGGTATGCATAAACAATTTATTATAATATAAAAGAAATAGGCTCTGAATTAAGTAGACAAGCCGAAATTTATAATAAATGATTTAAAAAAAAAATAATAAAATAAAATAAAAGTTTATAAAATAAGATAAAATAAATAATAATAATAATAATATATAAAATAAAAATAAATTAATAGATAGCTAGAAGCTTTTGTTAAATGGACCTGATCTGGCCCATTTTAAATCTTTCACGTTTAGTAGATAATTATTATTAAACATATAGAACATCGGACCTTTGACATTTTTGGTCTTATAAATTATTCAGATTGGCACGGTTTAACTTAAAGCAGCATGATCGATACATAGTACGACAAGTAAGGTAACTCTTTCCAAACCAAAAGCTCGACATTATAACGGGAAAAGGGACTTTAAAGTAAGATGTAACATTCTATGAATTTTATCCGTATAAATTCTGATACATTTCATCAAAGTATAAAATGAATTATCACTACTTCTGTAAAAAGCAATATTGATTCATATTAGAAAGATGTCTTATAAGAGACAACGCGTTTCTAAGGCCTGTGACTCTTGCCGACGAAAGAAAGTAAAGGTAAATAGTCCTTTATACTGCCGCAAAATTGTGGCTTCCAAAAGCTTTCTCAACCATTTTGGGTGATTTACCGAAGTTTTGGGTTGGTAGTTCTATAGCACTCAATGTTTAGCTGTTAAGAATTCAATGTTAATTAATCAGGAAAATGGAGATCATACAAATATAAAAACAAATATTCTCTAAAAAAAAAAATAAAATAAAATAAAATAAAAAATAAATAAAATAAAAAAGTAATTGTTTCTGACCGGTTTGCATTGTTCTCTTTCTTCGTTCTCATTTGATCATCATAGTGTGGCGGCGCCCCTCCAGTATGTAGTAACTGTTTGGCTTTTAACTTGAATTGTACCTATAACGACACTACCAAAAAAAGGTGGTTTTTTTTTTTTTTTTTCTTAAAAGAATTTTCGAATCGATTCATTTAAGGGTTAACCGATTATTTTATGTACAGGGGGCCTCCTAAAGGTTACATAGAAGCCATTGAATCTCGGTTGTATAAAATGGAATCACTCATGGGCGAATTGGCTCATAGTAATGATCCACGTGCGGAGGCAATTTTGGCAGAATTAATGAAGGATGATTTGCATCCTCTTCATAAAGCCAGAAAAGTAAATTATGCAACATGGAGAAATAGACTAGCGTCATCTGGAGATGCATTAGAAACTAGATCAACTGGATCTTTAGCAGATTTTCCGTCTAACGCTAACATAAATGATTATGATATTAGTTATGTTAATGACGTCATGGGGATTCTTGGCATAGACGAGAAAAATCAAGTTAGTTATTATGGACGAAGCAGTGGCCTTCAACCTTTAAAACAAAGTAATCTATACAAGGACGGATTCTTGTTATTTCCTAGCAACACAAATATTCAAACTTTAGCATCAAATCAAAAATTGGTGTTGCGACCAGAACTTATGGAATTGCCTCCTCAAGAATTATCCGATCATTTATTAGAACTTTATTTCAATCATGTCCATCCATTGTTTCCTATTATATATAAGCCACGATTTTTTGAGTTGCTAAAGGATCACGAGCATCCACCTTGTCTTTTATTGAATTCTATGTATTGTTTGGCATCAAATTTTTCCGATAGGCTTGAAGTAAGAAAAGACCGGGAAAACCCGCTAACAGCAGGAGATATTTATTTTGATCGCGCGAAGGCTTTGCTCGACAATGATTATGATAGAGCACACGCAACAATCATTCAAGCTTTGCTCTTATTATCTATTAGGGAGTACGGAACTGGTAAAGTTACGAGATCTTGGATCTATACCGGTATAGCAACAAGAATGGCACAAAGTTTAGGTATGCATCGTAATAACGAAAAGTGGCATCCAACATCATCTCATGGAGAAAAAGAAGAACAAAAACGTATCTTCTGGGCTTGCTACGTTCTTGACAGGTGAATATACATTCATAGAGATTATCACCAAAAAGTTAAACAAGATAATCTAAAATCAAGTTGTTAAACCTTTCGGAGAAACCTGTATCTATTGAACAATTCGTAAATTGAACATTCATCATTCATCAATCAAGATTAATGCTCTATGTTTATTTTATGCTTATAGGATACCAAGCGTACATTTGGGACGCCCATTGGCTATCGACGAAAAGGACGTAGACGCTGCATATCCATCAGAAAATGATGATGAATACGAACCATTTCCATTCAAAATGGAACATGCAACAAACTTAATATCATCGTCTGACACCACAAATAATAAAACTTCGATACAAGTTAATAGGGAATCAAAAAAGCGTGGAGAATCGTCAAATTCGGCCCACATTATGTCACGATTTAATTGTTTGATTAGACTTTGCGAAATAATGGGACGTATTCTTCAAAACATATACGCAATAAGATGTAATCAAGCATCAGTTAGTGATTCAGCAATTCCGATTCTTGAATCGTCGCTTAGAACCTGGTTTGTAACATTACCACCACACCTGCAATATAACCCGGGTCAACATTTGGATAATTTTGATGTATCAACGCTCAGTCTTCATGTGTTGTATTATGAATCATTAATGCTTCTTCATCGCCCATATGCAGTAGGAAATAATTCATCACATAAAATATGCACATCATCAGCAGAAATCATTTCTGATATTATTCATTCGATGTATAGAAAGAATACGTTGAAGAATACTTTACCTATTGTAATTTACAGCACATTTATAACTTCCGTTATTCATACTTGCAATGCTACCCAATCTGATACCACTATCTCACAGCCAGCAAAGATGAACCTTGCGAAATGTATAAGAGCGTTAGAATCCTTAAAAAACAATTGGGAATTGCCACATAAATATCTTAATCTGATAAAAGGATTGGTAGAATTGAAAGGTTTACAATTGGACACGAACCTGGGATCGCCAAATGATAGCACAGAAATTAGCCGTAGTTTGAAAAAACGAAATACCTATACATCTAATCAACCAAACCCATTTGATACAATGGACCGATATGGACGACAAGCACGATATCGTGCGCAATATAGTCAATATGTTGAATCGCATAATAATAATGATAATGATAATAATAGTGATAATGATAGCGATAGTGATGACGATAAGAGTTCTACAAAATCACAAAATTTTAATAATGTATCATCCCCAAGTGCTCTACCTCCATATCAACGACACTCTTCAGTAATAAATCATAATAATCCAGTCATAGCTTCTTCACCATCATTTAATTTTAATCAAGCTCAACAACCGCGATATCTACGTCATAACTTTCAAGAACCGGCGCAAATGTTTAATAACTCATTTGGTTTAAGAAATATGGCAACATTTTCACAATCACAAACACAGTCTAATGTAAACACATCTGATCCTTATGCAGCACAAGATGTAATTTCACCAAATAATGGAGTTGGAAACCATACGATTTGTTCCTTGAATTCTGGATTTTGGACCATTCCACAAAGTGCAAATTTCGAGGAATGGTCTTCTTACCTTCATTCGCAACAAGTACAACAGAGTGTCACATTACCTTCTCAACAAACACCTATGTCATTACAACCATTACTGTTACACGACAATGGGAATAATGTAAACATGTTTGCAAATAATCAAATGATTTCAGAATTTGAATAAGTCGAAAAAAATAGTAATCGAAGAATAAATATTTGTGGAGATAATTCTGGAGTCTTGTGATAATTTAACCATATCATCTGCATATTATTAAATTTTTTTTTTTTGGTTTGTTTCTAAGGTTAAATTTTTGTTTTATGTTTTATGTTTTCTCTTTTTTTATATTTATTCGTTGTATTTTTTTTCTCACGTTTTTTAAAAGCAAAAAAAAAAAAAAAAAAAAAAAAAAATCCTAGAATAAATGAGAATTTAGGCTAAATTTATTTACATTTTATACCGCTAAATAGTTTGTCCGTTGCGGAAGAACCTGATATAAACACCAAAATTGTTTACGTGTTAGTGTTAAAAGGCCTGCCCGGCCCGAATCTGCTCCGAAAGTCAAGTCAGCCAATCAGAAGTTTGGTTGTTGTTCCTAGCCTAGTTCTTAAAACGTTTAGTATAAATCAGATCTGAAATCGGGGGGGGGGAGGGTTTAATGAGATAGGACTTGGTCCTAAGACTTTAGGCCTAACCACGCAGACCTTCCCCCATACAAAAAGTTCTAAGACCTAAGTTTGGTCCAAGACTAAGTTCTTGAACTTAGTCCTAGCCAATCCAAATAATCTATTAATGCCAACGTTAAGGTGTCTATTATCAGAGCAACGAAAATTTTAATCATGTGAAAGGACTTACTATGAACATATAGATCTAAGTCCTAATTTAAACAATCATTTAGAAACAAATAACATGGGTGCAGTAGAAAGGCCCAAACTCTAAATTATGCGAGTCACCTAAATTTATTTTAATTTTTTTTATTGATTTCCATTTATAATCGTTCTGAATCATACCCAAAATACATTTTTGATTTCAGCGTAGTTTGAACCCTTTCTACTGCAAAGGTCATATACATCAATGATATATGTTAGAAGTATTATTCACGTGGCTCTTAGAACTCTGCTCGTAAGTAGTTATGGGTCAGACTCAATGTGTCCATTTGTCATCAACTCGAAGAACCGACTATAGTGAACTTTTAACCCTAACTAACTATAGGGAAAAAGTGGCAGACGCATGTAGTGATTGTACTCTGTCAAAAAACTACCCAGTTACCTTGGATGATCGACGGGTATACCCGGTGGTACTTGATTAAGAACTCGGATAAATTTCGGCATGGGCTACATTTTCAATTATAATATATGGCATAGAAATTCGTACGTACAAAATTATTAACCAATCAAAACACTAAGTTCGCTTGATTATCTCAAAATCGATTTTTTAGGCTCTTTCTACTACATTGTCTCATGGTTTTTTAATTGTATCTGTTTAGAGTGTCCAGAATTCTGCGGTGCATAAATCTGCTCATTCTAAAAATATTTTTTTGTATTGTATTTGGTTTTAAAAAATAATTAAAGTCACGTTTATCCTACGGAGACAATGCAAAAAGTTATTTTTAGAGCGAGCAGATTTATGCACCGCAGAATTCTGGACACTCTATATCTGTTCATCCAGTTAATAATTATAACTAGCTATTTTAATTAGTGTTTTGTTTGTGGTTATGTAACGATTAAATCTAAATGGGGTTCTCTTTTGAGGTAAAATCAGGTGTTGTCTAGTTCAACCTTTGCTTAAAGTTATCATGAGTGCTGATAAAATAAATTTCGTTATCACTTATTGGGTCTAGTATCAATTTCGCTGGTTTAGGCGTTAATAAAAAGAATTGTATAATACTCGTGTTAGATGTGTAAAAAATGTCCAAAAAGGTGCCATTTTGTCTGATTTTGTCTACTAAAATTAGACAAAACTTTATAAAGATATTGCGATAGATCAATGCAAAAAAAAAAAAGAAATTAGAAGTCTTGTCGCATAAAATCTTGTTGAGAATAAGCGTAGCGTGTAAGAAACGTTCTCAGCTAACCAGATTCGGGCGGGATTTTACTAATGATTTATACATTCCGTTTTACTACGTTCTTGGCATGCTAAATTACGAAATCTAAATATCAAAGAATACATTACTTTCTACCGTACGCCACTGACTAAAGTACCTCCCTGCCATAATACCCCCTATGAAAAAGACCCGGGTACTATTCATGGGTTCGTGATTCAGAAAATTGAATAAGACCCGGGTATTATTCTAGTTAGATATATATATATTTAGATTCGAGATTCTTATTAAATAATATTAAAACCATGTAAAGTACCCCCTATTATAGTAATTAATACCCGGGCGGGTACTATTCAAGAAATTTGATGGTTTATTGAATAGTACCCGGGGTACTTTAGTCAGTGGCGTACGGTAATTCTTTACTTTTACGACACATCCTATTATCCCTTAAATCGTATATTTTTTTGTACGCTAAGATTTTTAGAGGTCTATTTTGCGCATTTACACCAAATTTTATTACCCATTTCCTAAGCTTAAATAAAAGCGTATTATATACTACAATTTCTATCTTACGCGGGCCCTCTTAACGCTATCCCCAAAATCAATTATATCTTATTAATTGTGATATTGCTTTTGCGACAAAATTTAATATTAAAAAGAAAACCTGCATGTGACAATTATAAAAATTCTTTAAAACCGTCGCATGCGGGTTTTCTCTATATATAACATTAAAGTTGATCTAAAATTCTTTACAATCAATTTTGTGTACAATTTTGTGTAAATGATTTTTGAAGCAAGTCTGAGGACCCCGAGCAATCTATGATTTTAGTTTGCTTATTTTTAATCTTTTTTCTGTAGATCTTTTTTATTTATAGTAATTAGTTTGCTTATTTTTAACTTTTTTCTGCAGTTCCTTCTATTTTAGTAATTTTTGTAAATCTTTGCTGTTTGTAGATTGCTCAGGGTTCTATTGTATATAGTGTAATATAGATGTATTTTTATTGACATTTTTTTTATATATTTTCTTAAATTTTATTATATTTTATAGTTTATTAGTTTATTTACAGTATATAGTTTATAGTGTTAACTAGCCTCTTTGAGTTTAGATTTTTTATTCAAGTATTGTTAAGTGAGAGGTTTGCAGCTATAGCCTCAAAGCAACTATCTTACATTAAAGAGTATATGTTAGCCATATATATACTGTTGGTGTCTATTTTAACTAATTTTCTACAGCTCACATTATAAGTTCTACACTAGATGTTATATCTGTAACTTAAACTATAAGTATTATCTATTTAAATTCTCTATAATATAACTCTACTTGTGTTAGAGACATGGAGACTTAGTAAAATAGTCAAGTTGTTGCCTCCAAGTGACACATCCAGAGTTCAATTCTCACTAATGATGAAAAGTTGAATCTTTTTGTGTAATGGTAATTATTCAGGTGTTGAAATATAGTCTTGTAATGACAGTAAGACCAAATAGATGCAAGGGGTAATGATCACCTAACAGATGGTTTATTTCGCAAGTCCTATTAAAAGCGGTAGTACAGACTTGAAAGATCATGGACATTTGTGTAATAAATAAGTTATACAAAAAAAGACAAACTGATAAAGGTGGTGTAAACTTACGATAAGTATCTGTAAACTGTATAAATTTGTGGGACTAGTCCTGAATAGGAATCTGCTTGGCAAGTCCCGAATAGAGAAGTAGTGCATATTTTTAACAGTTCTGGAAAGTAAGAAGAAACCAAAAAGCTGCAGATCTGAATAAGAACCAGGTGTTTGATGAGCACTATACCAACCAGCTTGCCAAAATTGACTGGAGAAAAAGGACATAGGTTGGTATTCAAGTTAAGCCAGTAGGAAAGTGAGTAACGTAATTTGTGGACCAAACTGAGCTATCTAAATTGAGAGTTTGGTGAAACAGTGAAATGGTTCCTAATTGGATGAATACCAGAGCTGAGATATGAGTGAACTCTATAAGAACAGAAGTAGATAATAGTAGCAGAAATAAAAAGTCGCAAATACTTGTTCTCGAACTAGCCATAAGTTACCAAAGCCTAGATTAGCCTAAATATAGGTATAGAAGGTTTTAGCAAATTTACCTTAAGATCAAAAAACTCATTAAATAGTTGAAACCATTTTAAAGCTTTAAGCTAGCATGTGAAAATAAGGTGGTACTAAGTATTATCACATGGATATAAAAGGGTTGATATATAGACACAGAGAGTTTAAATAAGTACCTTCTTAATGGGATACAGATACAGTATTTAGTGTCGAACCTAGTGATAGGCAGATACTTAAATAGATGCTCAAAAGGTGCAGATATAGCTAGTTATATTTTACAAAGATATACAGTTGTCAGAATGTTCTGACAATCAAAAATCTTACTAATATTCGAATAAAGAGCAGCGTGGTAAAGAGGTCACCTTAATATTAAAAAAAAAAAAAAAACACTACTTGTATTATTAGGATATTTTGTTATATCTGTCAATCAAGAAGTTTTAGATGCTAACCATTATTCTTAGAATTAATTTATCCTTAAGACATTATTATTAGAACTTTCTATATTTACAATTTGATTAACCTAGATTTTAGTAACTTGTGCTGAGTTCAAGAACAAGTACTTGTAAGCTGAAGCTGCTATTATTATCTACTTTTGCTATTGTAAAGTTTATTCAAACCCTAGTAATCACTTTACAAATTATTAACAGTACTTCAATACTAGCTAACAGCATCCCAAACTTCTAATTTAGATATTTTAAAAAGAACTAGTAGATGTTTTTAGTATTTTAAATGAATCTTTTTTCTTTTAGTTTTCAGTTAATAGCCTGTTTGATATATTGTTTTGCCAAACACCTAGTTTTTATTTAGTTTAGAGAAATATAGAAATTATATAATTTTTTTTTTTTTGTAGTCAAGATTAGCCTCTTCGGCTTATCACTTTTATTAGATATTAGGATTATATGGTACTCTTATCAAAGGGGCCCCAGACAAGTACATTCTGATGAGGATACATTCTAGCTATATCTGCACCTTTTGGATGTCTAATTAAGTAATCTACCTATATGCTAGATGCTACACTAGATGCCATACCTGTAACTCACTATTACTTGAATTATCTAATTGAACCCTCTGATCTG